ATATAGATTTTTTGAGTTTTCTGTGTGTGCAGTCATGTTATAATTTTCTATATATGTAGATGGCAGATAATGACAATTTGATTTCATTCCTTTTGACTGTACACTTATTTTTTTTTCTCGATTATTGTACTGAATAGGACCTCTAACATAGTATTTAATAGAAGTGGTAACAATACTTATCCTTATCTCATTCTTGATTTAGGGGCGAAAGTTTCATATATTTAATATTATTATTAAGAATGATATTTGCTTTATGTGTGAGTGCTTGTAGATAATCTTATAAAGAAGTTTCCATCTATTCCTACATGTGATTTTTATTCTACTAATGTGGAAAATGGTGTTGATTGATTTTCAAATGTTACATGAGCCTTACTTCTTGGAATATAGCTACCTTGTTGTGATGTATAATCCTCTTTTATTTATTGATATTTTTGCTGATGTTTTGTTTAGAATATTTCTTTTCTTGTAATATTTTTTAGACTTGGGGAACAGGATTATGCAAGCTCGATGAATCAAGTTGGGAATTATTCTGGCTTCTTTTTTTCTTTGGAGCAGTTTTTATAAGCTTAGTGTTATATTCATCCTTGAGTATTTGGTGGCATTTATCTGTGAAGTTGTCTGTGCTTGGAATTGTTTTTGTGGGAGAGGTTTTACTTACAAGATTTAATTTCTTTCATATCTATTGCAATATTCAGATTGTGTACTTCTTTTGTTTGTGTGTTAGTTTTGGTAAACTTTTCCCTCTAGAAATTTGTTCATCTAAATTTTCAAATTATTTGGTATAAGGTTATTTCAAGTATCCTCTTGTCTTTTTATGGGTGTAGGTTTTGTAATGATGTCTACTTTTTCATTCCTGATATTGGTGTTGTCTCTTCTCACATTTTCAGAGATCCAACCTTTGGCTTTAGTGATTTTTTTTTTTTTTTATTGTGCATTTGTTTTCTGTTTCATTAATTTCCATTGTCTTCATTATTTCGCTCTTTTTTTTGGTTTATTTTCTTATTTTTCTAATTTCTTAGGATGAGTACCTCATTGATCTTCAGTCTTTTTTCTTTTCTAACATGTACATTATGCTTGTTAGTATCCCTCTAAGTATAGCTTTAGCAGTAACCTACAGATTTTTGTTACATTTTTATCATTATTCTGTTAACAAAATTCACTGTTTTCATTATGAATTTTTTGAAGCATGAGTTATTTAGAAACAGACTGACTAGTTTACAAATATTTGTGTATTTTGGGGTACCTTTTTGTTACTGATTTTGTTACTCATTCTCCTGTGGTCAAAGGATTACACTTTATGATTTCAGTCCTTAAATTATGTGGAGAGTTGGTTTGCGTCCCAGCATGTGGTCGGTTTTCGTACATTTTCCAGATACACTTGAAAACATAGATATTTTACTATTTGGGGTATTGTTTTTTATATATGCTAATTAAGATAAATGAATTAAATTTGTTTTTCATACCTTCTGTGTCTTTTTTTGGTTGCTAAGGCAAGTGTGTTAAAATCTGCAAGTTAAGGTTGTAGATTTGTCTATTTCTCATTTTAGTTAATTTTGTTTTATATATTTTGAGATTTTGTTATTAGGCATCTGTTAATTTAGAATTTTTGTGATCTTGGTAGATTGACCCTTTTATTATCCTGAATGTCTGGTGATACCTCTTGCTTAAAGCCTATTTGATAGTAGATAATAGGTGTACTATTATCCTCCTCCTTGTATGGTATTCCTTTCTCTATTCTTTTACTTTCAACCTTTCTATATTCTTATATTTCAGATACATCTCTTATAAGCAACATACATTTGGGTTTTTTAAAAAATACATCTGATAATTGTCATTCTTTTAATTCAAGTATTTAATACATTTATGTTAGGGTAATATCTTAAAATACTTAGGTTTAATATACTACTTTTTATTTGTTCTGTTTTTTCCCCTCTTTTCTAGACTTCTTTTCGAATAGGAAAGTATTATTTCATCCTCATCCCATTATCTTTTTAGTTATACACTTTAACTGGTCTTTTAGTGATTACGTACATATTACAGTATGTCTGCTTGGCTTATTAGAGACTAGTACGAGAACAGTGCAAATACTTGAGAATACTTTGTTTCTTTTTACCCCGAAAACATTATTTTTGTTATTTAATAATTATCCATTTATATTTATCTGCATGTGTTGTAAGTCCCTAAGATCACCTCCAGATTTGATGCTTTACTAGGGGGAGGTGTGGGACTCAGTATATAGTCATAGTTACGGGTATGATTTATTACAGGGAGCAAAATTAAGTGCTTATACGTAGTCTACTCTCTTTACTTGGCCAGAATGCCTTTACTTAAAACCTTTATTTTTTAATTCTTGATTGAATATGCTCACTGATGGTCCATTTTCATCTTTTAATTGTATGTTTATTTTAAAATTAGTCAATAGAATTTTTTATTCCTCTCTAGAGACTAAAATGAGTGATAAAGCAAGACTTTAACTTATTTTCTATGTATGATTTATAATTAAGCAATTAAAAATCCTAAGAATATTTTTGGAAATGATTGCATCATTGAAATGAATGTTTACTTACTATTTGGATATGTTAAGTTTGCTGTGTTCATTAGAGAATTAGTCTTTGTACTTTTTCTTTTGAAGAATTCATGCTGCTTTATTGTCTTGGTTTTTTTTTTCTTCTCTGGTGAATTACTGCTCTTTTCTTGCTATCCTTATAGGTGTGGAGATTTTGCCCAGCTCCAAATTCTCTGATTGTATTAGAAGTCATAGTAGTGTTGTTGTTTTGTAAATATACATTTATATTATATTGTATATGCTTTTTAAAAGTATACATTGCCTACCTTTTCCGAATCCCTTCCTCAAATGAAAATAATTGGTGTCGTTTATTGTCAAATTTTATGCTTGTGTGATATAACAAATGTGGCAGGAAAATTATGATACCACTTTACCTGTTTCAGTTTTTCTATCTCAGTACAGGTAAGAGTGAAGTATTTGGATCAAATTAGAAATATTGACAGGTATTGCCAAATATCATTTGGGACATGAGGAAGAATTAGTTATTCTGGTCTTTCGATTACTTCCATTTGTGTTAGATATTTTAGAAACAGCTTAAATTCTTTCAGGCCACCAACATGCTGTTTAATACAATACAGAACTATACAGATGCTCCTCGAATTATGATGGGGTTGTGTCCTGATAAACCCATTGTAAGTTGAAAATATAGGTTGAAAAGGTGTGGCTGACTGGGAGCTGGGGTTTGGTGCCACTGCCTAGCATCACAAGAGAAGTATGGTTTCTACTGAATGCGTATCACTTTAGCATCATTGTAAAGTTGAGAAATCCTAAATCAGACCATCGTAGATTGGACCATTTTAAGTCGGGACCATCTATATTATTCAAGTTTTTTTTTTTTTTTTTTAAACGCTCCTGCACTATTAACTAATAAGTATGTTGCGCAATAAAACAACCTAATTTAACATTATCTTAATCTGTTTTGTGCTGCCATAACAAAATACCAGACTGGATAATTTATAAAGAACAGAAATTTATTTCTCACAGTTCTGGAGGCTGGGAAGTGCAGAATCAAGGAGCTGACAGGTTAGAACTCAGTGTCTGCATCTAAGATGGTACTTTGAATGCTCTGTTCTCTGGAGGGGAGGAATATTGTACCCTCACATGGCAGAAGAGCAGGAGAGAGAGAGTGAGCCCACTCTCGCAAGCCCTTTTTATAGCAGCACTAATCCATTCCTGAGGAATCCACCCTCACGACCTAAGCATCTCTCATTAGGCCCTGCCTCCCAACACTCCCAACACTCGCAACACAGGGATTAAGTTTCAGCATGAGTTTTGGAGGGGACAAAAACATTCAAACCATAGCAAACAAAAATGTTTATTTTTCTGTCACAAACTGAAGGGTCTGAGATTATACCCTACTTGCAAACTAACAAATTCCATGAGTGCTTGCAGAAGAATCAAAAAAAGGACAGAATATTATAGCAACTGAAGTAGCTAGCGTAGCAGCATTTGTACCAGTTCCCCAAGTTTCAGTTTTCACAGAGTAACACTGGCTGACACCTCAGTCCATACAAAGTTGCATTATGGGAGGGGAACCTTGAATTTATAGAACCTTAATCTTTTATAATAGGCAGCAAGCATGTCTATCCTTTGCTTTGGAGGGAGACACTCTATTTTCCTACGTACAAACATCCTTCAAAAGATAGTTGTGAAAAGAGGCAGTCAGTGCTTCTGCTCTCCAGATAAGCAGAAAAGTAAAGAATAGTTTTTCAACATTTTGGAAGGCAGAAAAACCAAATGGGTATTTGTAAGATAGGCCTAAAATAAGTGACTTCTAGATTTTAGATAGTGGGGGATCTATTTTTTGAGTCTTTGTATTACTCACTTTTTTCTTACTGGTGAAAGATACCCTCTGTTTTGAGGAGTTTGTGTCTACCTTCCTTGCATCAATGCTTCTGTTTCTCTATGAAAGTTCACATAACTGTGAAGTCTGCTTCTCTCTTGTGTTCCAAAGCCATATTTCCAACTGCCAACTTAGTACTTCCTTTCAGATATTATCCCAGTGACTCGAAAACCTTGTGATTCTAGTTTGAATGTATTTACCAAAAGGACAGGGGCAAAGTCATGTTATTATTTTAATATTTTACTCTCTTAAAAGAAGTTTTCTAAACAAATTATTTTGATAAGCTTTATGATCTTTTTTTATGGCTAGTGTTTTGTAAGTCCTATTTTATATTTGTAAAACATCTGTATTCTCATATTTAGTATCAGTTTGTCATGTTATCATTGCCCAAACTAAGCACTTGGATTTTTGCCTATGTCCTCCACATTTTTCCATCTCTTTTCCCACCTATCCTCTCACCCCTGTACGTTCACATAAGAACAAAATATTATAAATGCTATAATATGTATGGGGCTTGTATTTTTATCATTGATTGTTCAGTCTACATTTATAGAGTAAAAGATATATCTCGTGTTACTTTCCTCTTTGCAGGTGTCTGTGCCATGCGGAGAGTCCTGAGGAAACAGCCTAACCTCCCTGATAGCAAAGTTGCTGGCATGGTGAAGATTACTCTGAATGATTTCTTGCAGGGAATGAATGACATCAGGCCCAGTGCCATGAGGGAGGTAGCAGTTGATGTCCCAAATGTAAGTCATTTATGCTCGACACTAGCCACACCATTTAATTCAAAGTCTGAAAGAAATTGAAATTCCAGGGAGACTGACTTCCTAGGCTAAACTTTAAAAAAAAAGTCTTTTGTAACTGAAATTTTTATCGAGATAATTATAGATTCAGTGCAGTTGTAGGAAGTAATGTAGGGAGATCCTGTGTATCTTTTACCAGTTTCCTCCAATGGCAACATCTTGCAAAATTATAGTACAATACCATAAGCAGAATATTCATGTTGATATAATCAGTTGATTTTATTCAGATTGCCTATTTTACTTGTACTCATTTGTGTGTACATATGTGTATTTAGCTTCGTACTATTTTATCTCTCATAAAGGTTTGTATATTCATCATCATAATCAAGATAATGAATAGCTCTATCACCACAAAGATCCCTCATGACTACCTACCTCATTTCTGCCCTCATTTCTAAAATTTTCTTATTTCAGAAGGGTTCTATTAATGGAATCACACAATATGCAACCTTTTGATGTTAGCTATTTTCATTTAGTATAATTCCCTGGAGATTCATCCAAGTATTTTTTGTATCAATAGTCTGTTCCTTTCTATTGCTGAGTAGTATTGCTTGTGTTTTGGGGATCATATTAAAAAATGCACTGCCCAGACCAATGTCATGGAGATTTTTCCTTATATTTTCTTCTAGAAGTTTTACAGTTTCAATCCTTATGCTTAAGTCTTTAATACATTAGTTGATATTTTATATATTATGTGAGATAACCAGCCAATTTCATTCTTCTGCATATTAATATCCATTTTTTCTGTCACATATATCAACATGCTGTTTGATTACCATAGCTTTATAGTATATTTTGGGATCAGGTAACGTGATGCTTCCAGCCTTGTTCTTTTTGCTAAAGATTGCTTTGGCTGTTCAGCAACTTTATGTTTCCATGTGAATTTTAGTAGTTTTTTCTATTTCAGTGAAAAATGCCATTTGAACTTTGGTAGGGATTGCATTGAATTTATAGACCATTTTGGGTATTACGGACATTTTAACAATATTAATTCTTCTAATACATGAGCGGGGATATCATTCCATTTATTGTTATCTTCTTCACTTTATTTCATCAGTATTTTATAGTTTTCAGTTTACGGATTTTTTTCTCTTCTTAGTTAAATTTTTCTATGTATTTAATTTTTTTGATACTATTTAAAATGTCGTTTTAAAAAATTTTTCTGATAGTTTCTTGTTAGAGTATACAAACACTACTGATTTTCATACATAGAGTTTTTATCCTGCCACTTTGCTGAATTCATTTATTAATTCTAACATTTTTTATGGTGGAATCTATAGGGTTTTCTATATGTAAGATCATGTCATCTGCAGACAGACAATTTTACTTCTTCTTCTCCAATTTAGATGCCTTTTATTTCTTTTTCTTGCCTAATTTCTCTGTCCAGGACTTCCAGTACTATTAATATATTGAGTGGAAGTGCCAAAAGTGGGCATCTTTGTCTTGTTCCTGATCTTAGAGGAAAAGCTTTTAGCTTTTTACTGTTGAGTATGATGATAACTATCAGTTTGTCATTTATGGCCTTCATTATGTTGAGGGTACATTCTTTCTATTCCTAATTTATTGAGAGTTTTTATCATGAGAGGATGTTACTTTTTGTCAAATGCTTTTTCTGATTCTGTTGATGATTATATGATTTCTATTCTTCATTTTGTTAATGTGATGTATCATGCTTAGTAGTTTGCATATGTTGAGCCATCAGCCTTGCATCCTAGGGATAAATCCCAGCGGATATTGGTGTGTGGTCCTTTTAATGTGCTGTTGAATTTGGTTTGCAGTTATTTTGTTGAGGATTTTTGCATTTATGTTCACCAGGGATATTGGCCTATAATTTTCTATTCTTACAGTGTCCTTGTCTGGCTTTGGTATCAGGTTAATGCTGGCCTCATAAAATGAGTTTGGAAGTATTCTCTTTAATTATTTGGAAGCGTTTGAGAAGGAATGATGTTAACTCTAAATGCTTAGTAGAATTCACCAATAAAGCCAGTCAGATCTTGGGATTTTCTTTGTTGGGAAGTTTTTGATTATTGACTTAATCTTATTGACTTAATCTCCTTGCTGATCATTGGTCTGTTCAGATTTCCTATTTTTTCATGATTTACTCTTGGTAGATTGTATGTTTCTAGGAATTTATCCATTTCTTCTAGGTTATCCAGTCTGTTGTATAATTGTTCATAGTAGTTTCTTACGATGTTTTGTATTTCTGTGGTATCAGTTGTGTTGTGTCCTCTTTCATTTCTGATTTTGTTTAAATCTTCTTTTTTTCTTAATGGTCTAGCTAAAGTTTGTCAATTTCATCTTTTCAAAAAACCAACTCTTAGTTTTATTGATTTTTTTTTTTTTCTAGTCTCTATTTCATTTATTTCTGCTCTTTGTTGTTTCTTTCCTTCTTCTAACTTTGGGCTTAGATTGTTTACTTTTTGATGTTTTTTATGGTGCGAAGTTAGGTTGTTTATTTGAGATATTTCTTTTTTTCTCAATGTGGGCATTTATTGCTATAACATTCCCTCTTTGAATGGTTTTTGCTGCATCCTATAAGTTTTGGAATGTTGTTTTTCCAGTTTCATTTGTCTTAAGATATTTTTTGATTTCCCTTTTGGTTTCTTCTTTGACCCATTGGTTGTTCAGGAATATATTCTTTCCTTTCTACATATTTGTGAATTTTCCAATTTTATTCCTGCTATTGATTTTTTGTTTCATACCATCGTAGACAGAAAAGATGCTTGATATGATGCCAGGATTCTTAAATTTGTTAAGACTTGTTTTCTTGCCTAATGTATGATCGATTTATCCTGAAGAATGTTTCCTGTGCACTTAAAGAATGTGTATTCTCTTGCTGGTGGATGGAATGTTCTATATATGCCTGTTAGATCCATTTGGTCTATAGTGTTATTCAAGTCTGCTGTTTCTGTATTGATGTTTTTGTCTGGATGATCTGTCCATTGTGGAAAGTGGGGTTTTAAGTTCTCTAATGTTATTGTATGGCTATCTATTTCTCCCTTTAGTTCTGTTAATATTTTCTTTATAATATGTAGGTGCTCCCAGTGTTTGGTTCATATATATTTACAGTTGTTATATCCTCTTGATGAATTGGCCCCTTTCTCATTATTTGATAACCTTCTTTGTCTGCTGTGACAGTTTTTGACTTAGTCTCTTTCATCTGACATAAGCATAACTACTCCTGCTTTCTTTTGGTTACTATTTACATGAAGTATTTTTTCTATCCCTTCATTGTCAGTGTGCATGTGCTCTTAAAGTTTATGCGAGTCTCTTGTAGGCAGCATATTATTGGATCTTGTTTTCGTTTAAATCTGTTCAACCACTCTGTCTTTTGATTGGAGAATTTAATCCATTTCTATTTGAAGTAATTATTGATAGGCAATGACCTTCTGTTTTATACTACCTTTGTTCCTTTCTTCCTCTCTTGCTGTCTTCTTTTTTGATGTGACGATATTTTATGGAGGTATGTTTTGATTTCTTTATCTTTTGTGTATCTACTATAAGTTTTTTTTGTGATTCCTATGAAGCTTACATAAAATGTTTTATAGTTAAAATAGTCTACTTTGAGTTGATAACAACTTTGATCAGACACAAAAACTGTACACTTTAATTTCTTCTACTCCTACATTTTATGTTACTGATGTCACACATTTACATCTTTTATCTATTATGTATTCATTAACAAATTATTATAGCTATAATTTTTATTATTTTTCTTTTAACTTATACCAGAGTTAAAAATGATTTATATACCATCATTACAGTATTAGAGAATTCTGAATTTGACTAAATTCCTACTTTTACAGTGAGTTTTATACTTTCATATGTTTTTGTATTGTTAGCACCTTTTCATTTCAACTTGATGAACTTCCTTTGGCATTTCTTGTAAGACAGGTCTACTGGTGATGAACTCCCACAATTTTTGTGGGAGTTTATCTCTCCTTCATTTCTGAAGGCCAGGCTTTTCTGGTGTAGTATTCTTGGTTGGCAATTGTTTTTTTTCTTTCAGCACTTTAAATATATTATCTCACTGTCTCTTCGCTTATAAGGTTTCTTAGAAATATAGTCTTATGAGAGTTCCTTTGTATGTGATGAGTTGCTTTCCTCCTTGTGGTTTTCAAAATTCTTTGACTTTGGAGAATTTGATTCTAATGTGTTTTGGTGAAACTGTCTTTATTTTAATTTGTTTAGACTTCTTTGGGCTTCATGGATCTGGATGTTCATTTCCTATTCCAAATTTGGGAATTTTTTGGTCATTATTTCTTTAAATAAACTTTCTGCCCCTTGCTCTGCTTCTTCTTGGTTCACTTTATGATGTTCCATAAGTCCCTTAGACTTTTTTTCACTCTTTTTCATTCTTTATTCTTTTTGTTTCTCTGAGTGGATAATTTCAAAGGCTGTGTCTTTGAGTCCACTGATTCTTTCTTCTGCTTAATTGTGTCTACAGCTGAAGCATTGTGTTGAATTTTTCGTTAGTCATTGTGTTCTTCAGCTCCAGAACTTGTGTGTGTGTGTTGTTTATGGTTTCTATCTCTTTCTTCATTTTGTTCGTACATTGCTTTCCTGATTCTGTGTATTTATCTGAGTTCTCTTGTAGCTCACTGATTTTCCTTATAATGATTAATGTTAATTCTTTGTGAGGCAGTTTGTAGACCTTCAGTTCTTTAGGGTTGGTTACTGGTGCTTTATTTTGTTCCTTTGGTGGTGTCCTGATTCCCTAATTGCTTGTGATACTGTGGCCTTGTGCTATTGTCTGTACATTTGAAAAAGTGGACAGCTCTTCTAGTCTTTACACATTGGCTTCTTTAGGGAAAGGCCTCCCCCATTCATCCCAAATAGTGGTTCTTGCTGGGCTGTCTGGTGGGTTCTGTAGGCTGGCTTGCTGCTGGAGTCCTTGGGGGGCTTGATGTCTCGGTCCACACGGGGCAGGTTTGGTGCTGGGG